TTTGGAGAATTATATCAGACCAGTCAAAAATGTAGTAATTACTGATACTTGGTACCGGTACATTATGTTGTTATGGTCCACAGGGGTATTGCAAGTCATACAGAACTAGGTTTGAAGGTTAGACATGTATAATTCTATGGCAAAGACACTCTCCCCTTTGAAATTTGTACCTATCAATTACCTTCCCCTTCCATAAAGGGACATGTAACATTTTATAATACTTCAAGCCAATTTTATACATTTTGTTTGTTCTTTGTGTTGGTTTATATTCTGATTGGACTCTTGACTTAGATTTTATCATTACCAATATTGCATGGTAGAGCAAAGCATTGGACAAACATCATTCGATTTCAACTTTATGTTACATTCATTTACACTGTAAGCTACCTGTATGTATTTAAGAATATCTAATGTGAGAAATGGACAAGTTCATTTTGGTGGTGGGGGAGGGGACAATAATCCGTCCTAAAAATACTCTTTTCCACTGAATCTGCTGAATATGGCTCTCCATAAGGAAAATGCATACAAACCTGTTCTTTATGATGACAGATCATACACATTTCCAGATGTGAAAGTTAAACAAATCTCTCATTTTTCTCCTCACCAGATGAACATTTAACAAGCTCTAACCTCTCTGCCAAGATTAAGCAGCACAGACTTGTCTCTTGCCTGTCAACACTTGACACCACAAAGCTCAGACACAGAAGTCTCTGTAGACAACTTACCATGGTAGACAGAGTCAAAGTTAAGTTTCGTGCAGGGCACTTGAGGGCTAGCCTCAAGCACAAAGACAGAATATTCAACTGCTGAATAAGTACCTGTAGGTACCGGTATTTTGCATTTTACTGTGTGTTGACACAAATTACGTGAAACAATTTAGTCACCGAAAAACCACCACTGGAGAAAATTCAATAATGCTGAAAAGCTCTCTGTTTTTGCATGTACTCGTATTTCCTCCATTAACTTTGGGGTGTACCTTCTGATAGTCACCTTTGAAAAACCTACACGTGGAATATTTGTAATTTAAGACTACTAATTAAATGGGAAAGTTTCAAGAAATGTATCAATAACAGATCATCTTCATCCATCAACGATACATTTGACTGTGTTCTTGCACATTGTACTCGTACATGTACATGACATAAAAACATATGCATGCAATGTGTTATGAATCACCGTTTTTTTCAGTGAAAAGAGCTGATTGGACTAATGTACCCAATATTTACTTTATCCCATGACCCCACCCAGCTAGGGGCCTTTTCAAGTGTTGAGCAAATGTGTGGTTTCATTTCCGTCCCTGAATTTGAAGAAACTTTCTTCAATTGCCACTTCTGAAACTCCCCCCAAAAAGGATTCCGAGGCTTTTCACATGAACCTAAGTCAACATTTACAGAGTGACGTTTCCCCACAACCTTCAAAGGTGCACGTACATGTACATACATGTACATGCATGTATGTAAGTGTATGCTGCATTATTAGATCAGTATGTCCCACATGTCACTGAGCCATTTGGACTTGTTTCTTGGCAGCCCTCAGAGTTTGCTGAGGCCAAACCCATCAGCAGGCAAAATCAAGGTTGTTTTGTTACCCACTCAGCAGGTACGCTTACAATTGTCAAACCAGCTGAACAGAATGAAGGTATTTTAGGTGCGTCATTGTTATTGTTACTGAACGAATCCAGACACTGTGGAGTATGAATAGGCTGGTGCTGTCGGTTTGCCATTGGAATAATACACTCAGTCAGCTGTGGTCAATGACAAACCATGCAAGCAAATCTCCAACCTTGCCAAATACTTTGTCTATCAGTTTCTGGGAACCTGGTAACTGTGTGGATTTCATGGCGAGGGAAAACTGTGCATTGTTGTTCTTATTACCCCCAAGGTTTCAAGCAATCATTCTCCTCATTTTGGGTCAAGGTGTGTGGGCAAAGTCTACAACAAGAAAGGGAGTTTGCCAGTGACTAACTTCTTCAAGTTAAGAACCAAAGGAAAACCCTTAAAAACTTTCCAAATTGGTCTCGCTTTATTGTAAATTCTGGTGAAAGTAGTGTATTTTAAGCAAAATGAAGGTAGTTTCCAATTTGACTTGCAAATTATAGGCCTACACATGTAAGTAAAAAATTTTTTGTCCAAACTGGTATAGACATGTACATGTATGTAACAATATTCTTTGTTGATTTGGTCCAATGGAACATCAATAATTGATGAGAAATGTCAGAATGAAATGTCATTTTAGTAAACTCAGATTGCAACGACACAGATTGTTTGCGCACAAGTAGAAGTGTTAGACACACAGGTAACACAGCCTCAGGAGTTATGTATAAATCCATTTTATTCCCCAAACCCTAACAAGTCTCAGCCCTTTCATTTCTTATGACATGGCACTATCACTAACAATACTACATATGTGTCCACTGAGCATTCTCTGTTGCTAAGTAGTTAATGCATACTGTTGGGGTGGTGGCGCTCTTCGGGAACACCCATTGCTATGGTTTAAATGCACATTGCATGCAATAAATCAAGGCACAGAAAGCCCTCCATGCATAATGTCCAATGTCTTCATTTCATAAAGCAGTTTGCATATTTTTTTGCTTCCGTGCATCCAAGTTTTAGACCATTCATGACTACAAAAACCCCTTTAAAGTTGATCACTGAGACCTGGGAAATTCTTTTGAGCGAACTTGTCACTATCAAGCCATGAAAACTCGAAAATATTGGAAGCAAAAAAGAAGGTCTGACAGTCACACTGTCGACTTGTCCCAGTGGGAGCTGTAGATGATGAAGCGACACATTCTCTATGCATGTTGGAAGGGGAAGGCTTGCCAACTGAAATTCCTCAGGCACACATTTCACATCAAATTTTGGCTGGTTTGCAGCCTGTAAATTTTCTGCTTGATCTACATTGCACAAGTGTGCTATTTGTCACTGTCCACTGAACTGTACGTAACAAGATCACACTACATGCAATGTATGTCTGACATGAAAAACCTCATGAAATTTCATGACCAATGAAAATATTCTTAATATAAGTTATTGTCAGCATGGTGCGTATTTTGTACTTAAATTTCAAAGGATGTGCCCTTGGACATCAAGATATTACATCAAATCAATTAAAACTGATCAAACAAAACATGATCATTAAACTGATGTTACGGTAGGCCTACATATATAATTAAATTCATGGTGGCAAAAAACAGAGGGTACAAAGTGTGCAATAGTTGGGAGTGTAAATCTATCGGAATATTGAGTCCAACACTGTTATCTCATGCATCTGTACCTAATTGTAAAATGTCTGTAACCACAGTAACTTTGGAAACATAGCTACTTGGACTGCATGATCCACCTGCATGGGCAGTGTTATTAGACTTCCAAAGCCAAGCTCCTGGCTAATTTCAACATGGCTTTTCTCAGAACAACTGAGCGTATCTCTTTTATCACCCACCTCACAGCAGTTAAGATACAGCAAAAATTCAGCTTTAGGCCTCGTGTATTTTTATGAAACAAGCTTCATGTCTCACTCTGGTTGGACTAATCATGACTAACCTACATGTACACACACACAGATAGTTTCTCAGAAAATTTGGTCTCATAGAATGCAATTGTGCAAACGTAAAGATAAAAGAAATCTTTGCTTGTCTTTAAGGTGATCCTCCAATTTTTATGACTCAACACACCAGAGGCTCTGCAGCACTGCTGGAGGTTAATGTCAGTTCGGAATCACTGAAACTAGTTTGTTTTCAAGTCCAAAGTCTGTGGCTGGTCCACTGATATTTATGCCTTAAGTCTCCCGGCCCCCTGCAGTCTGCAGTTAAAGAGGAAGTACATGTACAAGTACAAGATAGCTATACTCAAATGACCAGAAGCCAATGACCAGCCCTACTACTGACTACTGTGTGGTCAATCAAGGTTCTTGGGTGACTGCACTCCACAGTGGAACCGTTTGCCAGGAATACAAAACAAGCTCAATAGGGCGCCCCTTGTTTTATTCAATCCAAGGTGGCTTAGAAAGGACATAGCTTTCAGAGGAAGGGATGGAATTTCGCATTTATTAGGTGGGGGTTTTGCAGTCTTCAAGGTTACTGAACCCCTGCCCCTTGAGCACAAACAGACAATGTATTGATCTATTGACAGCTCTCTTATTCTCTCCCACAATAACCAAATACCCCAGGATTCTTTTGAGACTAGGCTTATCAACAATAAACAGTGTATAAGCAGAGAGCACCTTACAAGCGATCCTCTGTCACTGCTTAAAGTGGAGGGTCATTACACTTCAATGCTGTGCCTGTTCTAAACAATAGCAGTTTACGCATGCTGTGTAAAGTCATGTTAAAGGAAAATAAACTTGTAGTAGGCCCCTACAATGTAATGATACATAAAGGGTCCCGATCTATTTTTGCTACAAAACTATAAACATGGAATAATTTACACAATGAGAAAGTACAATGAATATTCCTTTCCACCCAACAACTTAAAAAAGGTTTTTCTCAGCCTCCTGATTGACTTTCTTCCTTTAAATTATAGTCCTCCCTGCGCTGGTCATACATGCACATGTATCTCGGCATTTGAGTAATGGTCCATTACATCGTTTCCATCCCAATCTTGACATTGTGTTTACTACAAAGCACGATTTTATTGACACACCATGGATATTGTATCACTTTGGAGATACAAAAGATAACGTCGTAGTTTGCAAAGCCCTTCTGTTGACCATAAGCCCCCCCCCTCCCCCATTCAAACACCGGTGGTAGCCTGCAGTTTGATCCAACTAAAGATCTCTGACATGCCTGAAAGGCTGTGGAAACTTAAGCTTCCGAGAGAAATTTTACTTTTAATGCCTTATTTCTGCAGGAAGTGTTCTACTGTACAAAAATAACACAAACTGTTCATTTACATGTTCGAATATCTTATAGAAATTCAGAATACCTAACTCGCTGTGAAGCTAAAATCACACTGTTTCATGCAGCCCGAAACTGCCAACTTTTACTGTGCAACGGTACCTACCTTGGCCCAGAGTTGACGGACTGAGTAAACTCAGAACACACACCACCAGACAGAACAGCGGAACACGTGAAATTCCCATACAATATCCCGACTTCCAGTTAAGTTTAGTCCGACTGTGAGCCATATTTCCACCTTCTGGACAGCTGTGCTGCTTGCACACGGCCTGCCTTCAGCGTCCCGCAAAGAATGGACGGTAATCCAGTCAGAGAATCATGTGAAAAAGAACCTTTTTTTCCCTTCAAATCTTCACAAAGTTTCCGGACCCAGAATGTGTTACGAGAATACCGTGTACACGCTAAGCACGCGGCACCATACCATCCACAGCCGGCCACGCACGGACTGTACGTAAACACATCGGAAGTCACACTTGGCTGTCTCACACACAGCGCGATACCGTCGTCGCACTTGCTGTGGCCCCCTCCGTACGTGATGACTGCCCTCAGCAAGGTCAAAATGGGATCGCCTTATTTTAATAAATTACCATACTAGAAAAAGCCCTTTCATCGGCCAATCATCGCGGGAGGAGCGCTTTGATATGGAAATAGTCACGCCCAGTGGCTAGAGCAGTGACTGTTTTCATGAATAGGAAAGCTTTTGAAACGACAACCGAGTGTTTTCTACGAACGGAAGTGAAAAATATCGTCCCAACGTTTTGCACGATCAAAAAAATAAAACATTCTCCTTTTTGGTTAAGCAAGTCAAGTACTATATAATTGATGATTAATATTAAGTAAACAGATCTTGTTCTAGCGATATATCCTGAAGTAACTAACAATGCAGCAAATGGTTATGCGGACAATTCAATCTGTACATGGGGTATTGCGTGGGAGTGGTGGTTAGGCGAATATGATTCAGAGAACACCCAGCATTGAATATCTTTGTGCCTGTTGAGTATATCCCGCTTAAACTTTATTGTAGAATAAATTTTTACAATATATGTATATTTCTTTTTAAGCAACTGGATAGGATATATGAAATCTCAGCAGCACAACCAAAGTTTGTTATTTCATCTTGATCTTAATCTTTGTAATAAGTAACTTCTTCGTCGTGAGAACAATCATTGGCGTTCATGGAAGTAAGTACAGTGCATGCATTTTGCAACAAGGCCACTTAGGCCAAATCAGAAATAACTTCTGAAAGAATAATATCACTTTCCACCTTGTGCAATTCAGCGTCTAGCAGGAAAAAAAAGACAAAAAACCTTTTCAGTGAATTGAAAACGTGACCGCCCGTCTCATAGTTTCCTTGTTTCATCTCCTGTGACAGAAAGTTCTCATATGAGAGACCTTTACTTCGTTATCACTCACCGATCCGATTCGTCAAGAGTCAACTTAAGCCGACTTCGAGAAACAAAAGACCCCCGTTGTCTGCAATCCAAACTGTTGTGACTCATAACGGCGACTTCACATGGGGTCCTGCTCCCTGGCTTTCAGATGTCATCTTGGCGGGAAAATACGGCCGATTTTTTTTTTTCTGCACGCGAAGTCAAACGCGCTCCTTAAAGATTTCACAGGCTGGAGTATTTCTGACTCGAGCACCTTTTCCGCAAAGAGCCTGAATGTTAAGGTCTGGATGCAAGTTCAAGGAAATAGAAGGACAGCACCCACAGCCGTGTTATGAGGTCATTTGTTTCGTTTTTGTTTTGTTTTTTCGCCTATTCTTCTGAATGCCTTATTGTTGGTAAATCATTAGTTACAGTTCGCTTGATTGAATCTCGTGAAATCTCTTTATTACACGTCAAATTATAATAATATTCGACTTATCAAAGTCATTGGAGGTTTTTGGGCTATGTATCACGATAAACAATGCACCAAAAATGCTGTGAACAGATTAAAAAAAGAAACGGTTTTCAAATTTGACTCTTGAGTTGAGTTTTGTTAGTTTCTAGTGGATTTTGTTTGAATGCCAATAAGTAAGAACAAATTCACTAGTCCAGGAGGAAAAAATTAAAGAGGCCCGGTAATTTTATCGGAAACTTAAAGTTGACACTTCACGCAGTCATTGTTAATTCGACGGTATTTGTGAAAGGTTCGAAAAGTTTTACAACAGTTTTTACTTCAAAAAATGTCTTTCTGGTGCAATGCTCCAGTAAATCTCGCAATAGTGAGGATATTATTTTGCTATAATTTTCAAAATCACTTTTACCAATTTACTCATACTTTCTTGGAGTTGCCTGAGTACACAGTATTGCTGGCTCGATTTTTTTCCGTAAAGAAATGTAATCGGTAAGAGGGTTGTGGAAAACATATAAATAATAGTAATATTTTATTCTGGTCCATATATAGCTTGAGGTTGGAGAAAATACGAGCAAAACGAGCTCTGATTTTCGAGAAGTGAAATACTATATGCCGTACAATGTTCATTTAGCAAGAAGGACTGCCAGGGTCCAGCAAGCGCAGACAGTGGATCTCTTTCATCCATACTTCGTCGGACTACCCGGTTCTGTCAACTCGCAAAAGAAGTCCTCAATTATGCTCATCTTCGCTGCTTTCGTTCGAGTCATATGATATGTCAGGTGTAAATCACGATGGTACTCCAGAAACGTGGATGAGCAACCTGCACTAATGCAACATACGGTCGATCCATCCACAGTAGAGGTAGTTTTTGTTCATAACGTTCCACTCGCCTTAACAAAATATTTGCCAAGCAGAGACAATTATGTCGAAGTTCTTGCTTCCGAGGACTTGAGAATTAACAATACTGAAAAAGACGAACCGTTGCAAACGTCATCCATCTTGTAGTTCATATCTTCAGCTGTGTCTTGAGCGACAGATTACTGATTAAGACAGACAGAAGTTCTTCAGAGTGCTTATTAATATTATGCGCGATGCAGGTCCGCTCTTAAAGGTGCGATCCCATTGCCAAATAGCGGGATCAATTCTCGCGCTGTCCAAGCGCCAAATCAATATGAAAAGTGCGGATTTCCAGGAGCCTCGGCAAGTATTGGCTGGTAAATATTGAGACAGCAAACACACACATGCCGAGGATTGCGAACAGATTGCAATTAAGACAGCTCGTCCCCCTAACACACAATTCAAGTCTCAATGCAAACGGGCAAAAATAGTGTGTTAAACTAAGCCAGGCAATGCATCTGTCGCGTGTAATATGTACATGTGTATGGACATTGGCTGAAGGAAAATATGTCATCGGTGTGGGGTTCTTGCTGCAAGTTCCGAAGAAAGAGGCCCGCTTTGCAATAAAACATTAAATTATTCATAATTACCATGTGAATCACGAAACCGGGTTGAGATGAACAACAAAACAAATCACAGCATTTGCATTATTTCAGTAACAAGAAATACATGTAATGTCATTTGCCATTCAAATCAATGCACCCCAGAAAAGGGGTTTTGTGTGTCGTTGTGACAAAAATTCACAAAAAAAGTTGTATAAAAAAATCACACCAACAGGTTACTTCCAATAATAAGCTAGAAAGATAAAACTATGTAAAAAGGAAACGACATAAAACAAGTATACACGTGTATATTGATTTTCAAATTGTCGTGATAAGTTGGACCATAGAAACGAACTAGCAAATTATGCCCATGGAAGCTACTTTAATACACTATTCAACAAAGGTTTAGGACCTCTTCTTAACTTGCATTTTTCCCAGTGATGAATGGGGTCTTGTTGTTTCATTTTTCTGTTCGTCTAGATGGTGTTCTCACTGGAATAAAAGAAAATTTAAAAATTCAGGACATTTATATTAATTGAGCAATTTTCAGCATAAAAATATCTCATATAAAAAAGTATACACAAAGTGAGAAGTGGTCCTTAACTTTTTGAGTAGTATGGATAAATACATGTCGACGACCACAAAAGTAACTCGTACCATTTGATTTCAGTTGAGGGCGCCCGAGTGTTTCAAAGAGGTCTACAAAAGATATTATTAGTTGTTACGGGTCGGTTAGTATACTGTATATGCAGTCCATTCTCCTTTGCAAGAACTCAACAAGCGAACGCACGATACATAGGAGTAAAATCTTTCCAATCGTCCGTTAGCATGCGGCCATTTCTGACCTCTTTTCTTTGAATTCAGACACTCTTTGATGATATTGGTGTCCTTTTCTGGAGTTCGAATATAGTTATACGTTACGCTAAGCGTAAAACCTGTATAATAAGAAACATCAGTTTGAACTCTCTCCAATCACGATTGAAAAATAAAGGGCTTACACGTGCTGAATACGGGAGCAAAATGAAGCCGCATCGACCTGAAACGAAACCAAGGTTTGAGAAATTGCCCAAGAATCTGGTAGGTGCACCGTAAAAGAGTTAATTCACAAAATCTAGGTGAAACCATAAAGCAAAAGTGCTGGAGACCTCTGTGTGTTTACATTCACAACAGCGAGATAAGGTAATTGCATAGCTCTGTTCATCAACCGCACTTTTATTCAATTACAGTAATTTTTGCTCTCCTGTCGAGATTTCTTTTTCAAGCCCGCATTAACAATTTGACAGTGCTCTTGCTTTAATCATGCTCCCATGAAGAAAAGTCTGTGGCCATTTAAATTCACATGTTGTCATGCATTTGTTATGAGGCCGGTTTGTTTTCAATATTGTCTTAATGTCTTAACCACAGAACATAACACTTGCTAGGTGATTTGGCAATGTATAATAGGTTATTCTAATGATTTTAACAGCTCTGGTGTGTACGCAATGGCGCACGTTCCGTCGGGCCCCTTCAGCTACTATGGTGGCGGCAATTATGACGGGAACTGACTGTCTTTTCCAAATGTTAAAACTCAACTTGTGCTTTGTGGTTCCTGTAAATTTCAAAGATCGCCCGCACGTTCAAAAGTAGACATAATATTTTATGGGTTATAAACTAATGTAGGCAATAGGCCTAGGTCAACTTTTTCCACGATACGTATTTTGTGTGAGGAATACCAGAACAATATTTGATTAGGTTAATAACAATGAATGGAATAGGTTTCGGGTAGCACCATGGGACGACAGACAGAACAAACTGTCCGAAACGTTGAGTACCACCGTTTTTTTTCTTTTCAGAACCACATGCTCAACAAAGAGATATATCCATGGTGCTACCGCAAACCTTTTGTTTACTTGCTACCTCCAACATGAAAAGCTTCAAATCTCATTTAACAGTGAATGATGACGAAAGTCATCAATTTTAGCTTCTGAAAACCCATTTTACGGCTTACAAAATCCAGGCACCAATTTTCGCGAGGTTTACACGCCTTGATGAGTACCCGGGTTATCTCCCTATCTCTTGCACTTTCTCAATCAATATTCATTTCGTAACCAAGTTAGAATACGTCCTATCGCTTACCCCACATACACAAAGATGGCAGAAATCGACCATACACGAAGAAATCGTCATCATTCTCGTCACTAGGGGGATGTTTGCGGTTGTTGAAAGGACTTCGCGCCTTTTTGACTTTGCTCCTGATGTGTACCGCCAAAA